AGATCACATTTAAACAGCACCAATCCGGTAAACGCTGCGGAAAATCATACATTATCATTACTCAATGAACGAGGCACAGATTCTTATCAAAATAATTTCCAAAGATTCATAATAGTGAAGAACCAACCTCTGGAAGAAGGCATGATCGATGGACTCGCTGCAGGCGACGATTGGAGCCACTGCTAAATTCGATATTCCTTATAAATGTGTAGAGTCATGTTACAAGAAAGTAACGAAGAACCTTATTATATAACTTATTAAACTCAGGCTCAACCGTACATAAATGGAAAAAATTGAGTGAAATAAAGTACGGAGCTACCTGTTGTGGAGGACCGGGTACAACAAAACGCTCATTCTGCTGGGAAGTAGTAACTCCGAGACCGACTTGATCAACTACCATATGAGTTATTCGGGACGGATCTAATTGACCTAGTGGACTGTCAGTGATTCTTCCCTGTTCCTGAATGCTAGGCATAAGATTTCTCGATGACCGCAGATATCGTTTTATTAGAATGTACACAGAAAAAAAGAACTTTGCGAGACATATATATATATGTATATATATATATATATATATATATATATATATACAGGGTGTCCCAAAAAATGTATCGAACGTTTGATCGTTAATATCTCTCTTCTGAAGAAGTCTTTTCCCTTGCTTCAGGTACCGATCTGTAGAGCTGGCTTCAACTTAGATTCACATTACAAAACGAATCACTCATCTCTCTTCATTACTGTAGAATTACGGTAGAAACTTCAAAGAGGGTTTTAAGCAATGAAAGGCCATATTTTGCCTCAGAAAGAAAAACAAAACAGCCTCAAAACTTTTACACTGGGCTAATAAGAGTTGCTGATTATAACTGTAGAGTTCCCAACTTATTATGATGCTTCATTGAAGAGTTATGCCAGTAAGAGGTAGCGGCCATTTTTTCAATGTTCCTAAAAAAGTGCGGTTACACCGTTTAGAAGGCTTCTGATCTCGTGAATAGTTGAGTATTGAACTAAGCGTCTATAAAAACCCTATTACACAAGTTTTCACATTTTTCTGAAAAATTTTGAAACGGCAGCTTTTTCCACATTGACACCATATGTTTCAAGTTTCTACCGTAATCCTACAGTAATGAAGAGAGATGGGTGATTGGTTCTATAATGCAAATCTAAGTTGAAGCCAGCTCTACAAAACGGTACTTGAAGCAAGGCAAAAGACTTCTTGAGAAGAGAGATATTAACGATCAAACGTTCGATACATTTTTTGGGACACCCTGTATATATACAGGGTGTCCCAAAAAATGTGAACACTATTTGATTGTTAATAACTCCCTTGTTTTCATGTCTTTCGCCGAGCTTGAGGCACCATTCTATAGAGCGAGGTTTAACTTAGATTTACAGTATGGAGCGAATCGTCGATCGCTCTTCATTACTGTAGCATTACGGTAGGAACTTCGACAAGGATTTTAGGCTATTGTAGGCCATATTCTGCCTCGGAACAAAACCAAACAACCCAAAAACTTCTATGCTATGCTAATGGAAGACGCTGATTTCGAATATAAAATTTCCATTTTACTGTGATGCTTCTTTCCAAGGTTATCCTACTTAAACCGTAATAACTAAATTTCTAGCATTTGTCAGAAATGTGACTACACCGTCAAAAAAGCTAAAAACACTCGTTAAAAGTTGTCTAATGGAATCAGCGCGCACGAAAAACCTAGTACACGATTTTTCAGATTTTTTGAACAAATTTTGTCAAATGGCATACTTCACAATAAATCCACATACTAGAAGTTCATACCGTAATCCTAAAGTAACGAACAGCGATCGGTGATTCGCTCCATACTACGAATCTAAGTTGAACCTCGCTCTACAGAATGGTGCCTCAAGCTCGGCGAAAGACGTGAAAGCAACGAAGTTATTAATGATCAAACAGTGTTCACATTTTTTTGGGACACCCTGTATATATTTCCTACCATCTGTGAGCTCCTTCCGTCATCACCGGAGCTTCTCAAGTTATCGCAATCTCTGCTGCCCGCATCATTCGACGACATGTTACGCTTGTTCGTCGCACTGCTTAATCTCAGATTAATGCACATAACAAACCACTGAAAAGTTCCATGAGAATTGATCACATGTTATACGAGAAGATTGCGCTTATACAGAAGCTATTAGATCTGACGGTAGATGCAAAACCGTGGGGTGCCGACATTTGCCGACAACGTTAGCGCATGGGTAAATTGCAGGGAAGGGGAGGGGGGAGGGGGAGCGCAAAAGCTGAAGATGTGTGCGCCACAGATGTCGTGCAGAAGGCGAGCATTCCAGCGGGCATTTTGATTTGAGGGGCAAGAGTAATCCTCACGTGCAAATGTTGCAGGCATGTCGGTTTTGCGGACAGAATATATTTACTGTCACCGGTAACTTATACAAGGACTACTCAGAATTCCAGCACATTTACACATTCCCCGCGGAAAAATCAAACATTGTTCTGCATTTGCCTAATCAATTTCGCACCAAAAAATTTAAGCATAAAAAGACTCTTTTCACCGTTAGTTCTTGGTCTCAGTAATCTTCTATTTACTGGTTGTCAACTTGTCCCATACCACCTTAAACAGTTCTTCTAACGTAAGAGATAAAAATGGCCTTAACTTCTAGCAGCGGACAGCGGGAGACGGTAAGGAGGTACGATCGGCGCGAATTTTTCGCGAAGCGACGCCGCACGTACTTCAACCAGTACAACAGCAGCACTGCAGGCGCAATGTTACTTATGGCATTGAGTCATGTATCTGCCTCCACCCCCACCCCCGTGTTTTTGCTGCCGGGAGTCTCTGATATGGGGAGCTCTGTGGGTTCCAAGATCGGGACGCGGCGTGCGCGACGAAGCGGCCGCCGCGCGCGGCGTACCTCCTGACGTGCAGCCGACCCCATAAAATGTGTTTAACAAAACACTGACGAAAGCTATGGACAAGGTAGATTAAAGGTTACAACTAGGAGATAGACATCAGATATACGAAATCGAAAAAGGGCAGGGGCAAATTGGAAGATCAAATGGTTGAAGGACAGTTCGGAGAATGTGCTGAATATCAACAATTAGGAAGGCGGACAACCTAGATACGTAACCTACACATTCGAAGATGCTTCATTCGTGTGCAAATGACATTGAGGGAAAATTTCAATCTTTGGCGTAACGATAGAAAGCTGCCGCAATTACGAGCAAAACACTTCAATTCACGCCCGTCGAGTAGCTACGCTCAGGTAGGTGCCAGAGTAAGCGAATATTTTGTTCAGGTTGGGTCCCGCGCAGAATTGACGTCACTTGGATTGACGACAGCATGGTAAGTGACGCCCATTCTGCGCGGGACCCCAACCTGAACAAAATATTCGCTTACTCTGGCACCTACGTAGGGCACCCGCCATACTTGATCCTCTTGATCCGCTTGATCCACTTAATCCACTTGATCCGCTTCATCCGCTTGATCCGCTTCGTGCAAAACGCGCGCGCTTAGCAGTCTGTCAATTGGAGCCGCGTAGGTAAAAAGGAGTCTCGTATGGTCAAGCAAATTCGCTGTACGCGACGCCAAATGACAGACTGCTGAGTGCGCGCGTTTTGCAAGAAGCGGATGAAGCGGATCAAGAGGATCAAGTATGGCGGGTGCCTTAAAGGCAGCGTACACCCAAAATTTGAGTTACCGAATTTCCTAGATCTTTCTACACCGTGTATATACTGGGCCCAGAAGAAGACCAACTGCGTTGGTCCGGTCTCCCAATGTTGCTTCTGAGCGGAGAAAACCCCCCTCAATTTTCTTTCACGCCGCCTCTTTTCTTTCGCTCCGCCTCCTCCGGACGAATCCATAACAGCGTAAGCTGCAATTGCAGTTGCAGTTGCTGTTGCAACATCTGTTGCATTTGTTTGGGTGTACGCTGCCTTTAATGGGACGGGACGGTGCGGGACGGGAAACGGTCAGGAGGAGGATCGGCGCGATTTTTTCGCGAAGCGACGCCGCACTATACTTCAGCTAATGCAACAGCAGCGTTCCTGGTGCAATGTTACTTATGGCATCGGTCATGTATCCGCTCCCACCCACATCCACCTATGTTTGCCGCCGGGGATCTTCAACATCGGGTGTATCGGGCCCGCAGTTGGACGCGGCATGCGGCAGCCGCGCGCGGCGTACCTCCTGTGGCCGTATTCATCAACGAACCCTGAGGGTTAAACTAACCCTGCAGGGTTAATTTAACCCTGGAGAGCGATTAACCCGTATTCATGAAACACAGGTTAGCTTAACCCTGAGGGTTAAATCTAACCTTGAGGGTTAATTTAACCCTGAAAGCGACTAACCCGTATTCATCAAAGAATAGTGAGGGTTAAACTAACCCTGCAGGGTTAAACTTACGTGATTCATCAGGGTTAATTTAACCCTAGCTCAGAGCAGGGTTAACTCTACCCTAACACTTCATACAAAAGTCATAAAGTGATCTCTCGATGCACTACTTAATTCCAACAAACACATATTTCATTATTATCCCAAGTCTGTTAAGTTCTCTCTTGTATCGTCCAATCATATTATAAAAATTGTGGTAAAATTATTTTAGTACTTCATTGTTCAATTCAAAGCGTAGTCGGTTCAGTCACGACAATATGTTCATGTAAGAAATCGTTAATATTGGTGGACTAATATTTCGTTGAGAAAGCCCCACCTAAATTTTATTGAACAACGAAAGATGACTGAATTATTGAGCTTGAGGTTCGTCATATTAAAAGTTAGTTGGACATGTATTTTATTTGGAAACTAGATGTTTATGACTGTAACAAGTCAGCTGAATGATAATACCGAGTGAGAAAACTAAAACACTTTATTTGTAGAAAAACTAGAATAAAGTGGACCGAAAAAATTTATACAAGGAAATGAGATACATGAACATGTATGGGCAGTATATTGTATAGTATATGGGTAGTAAAGTATAGGTAGATAGTGTATGAGCTGTTAGGTACGAAAAGTTTATCTAAATCAAGAAGATAATCGAGCATTCTTTTTTTGTAGGATAGCTGTCATTTTGCTCTGGAAAATTTCAGTCGCGAATGTAGTGAATGAAAAAAGAAATAGAATTAACCTTGTACCTGTGCTGATTAGGTGAACATGACGTTAGCGTCTAAGCAAAGTAGGTTTCTATGATGGCTCTGCGCATGTTGGCACCTTCGCCCGCATCCGGAACGTCCGTCTCGTCGTCCCCGGCCTCAGGGTATTGCTGCGGGATGGCTTCATTCGCGGTAAAAGGCTGCTCTCGGGTCTCGATACAATAGTTTCGCAAACAACAAGCAGAGACTATGATTTTCGAGGCTCGAGTGGGTGCATGTCTAAAAGGAAAACTGTTATCGCTGCCTGGATCGTATTCGCTTACCTCAGTTCAGTGTGTAGAGACAAAAACTGCCTTTTGAGAGAACCAAATGCGTTTTCAATGATAACCCTGCCCCTGCAAACTGCATCCGTGTAGCGTGCCTCTAAATCCAGTCACTTACTAAAGACCGAGAATTGACTGATGCGAACCTGCCGGAGTTCTGTCACTTCTCAGAATCGGCTTCAGTATGAACCTTTCGGAGCGGTATGCACTATGCAACACATCGTCCTTCTTGAATGGCAGGCATGCTCTCCAGGGCTGGTATGTATCAATCGCCCGCCCGGGTAAGTTACCCGGACAGATAGTTTCCGCTTCATAGCTCGGTGCTCTGGGGATCTGTGTTCTTCCTTGTTTGTTCATCTTTAGAAGGCTCTACTACCCTAATACTGTAGCACAATGAGTAGCAGCACTTTGCTGTATAAGCTGAGATAATTCGTTATTTCTATGATCCCGAGTGGGATCTCTCACTGATCACGCTCATTTTTAAAGTTATTTATATCCGCAAAAACTCATTGAAAACGTCATAGAGTTTTGCTGTCGATCTATTACGACAGTGCTACGCATGTTTGTGAAAGAAATAAGTAGAAAATCAAGATGACAAAATCTTCGATGAACCTGTGCTCGCGAGTTGGGCTTTATCCAAGAACTCAAAACTTGCACATTTCATCTGTTATACTAAAAACATGCGTAGCACTGTCGTAATAGATCGACAGCAAAACTCTATGACGTTTTCATTGAGTTTTTGCGGATATAAATAACTTTGAAAATGAGCGTGATCAGTGGGAGATTCCGTTCGGGATCATACAAATAACGAAATATCTCAGCTTATAGAGCAAAGTGCTGCTACTCATTGTGCTACAGTATTAGGGTAGTAGAGCCTTCTAAAGATGAACAAACAAGGAAGAACACAGATCCCCAGAGCACCGAGCTATGAAGCGGAAACTATCTGTCCGGGTAACTTACCCGGGCGGGCGATTGATACATACCGGCCCTGATGTGCAGCCGGTACGGGACCGGCCATACTATTCCAGGAGATGATTCCTGCGACTCCTGTAATTCCTGCAGTTCTTGTGATTTCTCGATTTCCGACATGCCGCACTGAGCGCTTTGCGAATTTCAGCATACAATGTTTTTTCGCAATATACGTTGTTACGGGACCCGCAGAAATCTCAGGAATCACAGGAATAGTATGGCCGGTTTCCACAGCTTCAGATCAGGGTCGTGTTGATGGGATCCGAGGTCCTCTTTTACGATCCCCTCCCCTAATCACCCATCCGTACCCGCCCTTCCACCTCCTAATTTCCACGCTTTTGCGGTAACTTGTAACTATAATGAATGGCAGTGCACCTCAAAGAATACCAATAGACTTTACCTGAAATTCATACGTCAAAGGACTAAAATATACCTACGAATTAGGAGATAACGCAAGTAATGATTTGCTCAAAAACCTCCCAAAATGTGTAGTTTGGGTAAGTAGGAAAATTCTGAAGATTTAGCTGCGCTGTATTGAGGTCGCGAAAAGATGGATGAGTCAAATTGACGAGTTAATTACTCTAGTAACTTGATCCCTCTGCTCTTAGTTACTTGCGTTTGTATTAACATAACAATTTCTGAATAGATCTTCATCACTAGTGAACCAGTAATCTAAAAGTGTATTTGGAAGAGCGGAGCTTTGGGACCCCCACGGTTTCCCGCTATTTGCAGGTTTTTGAATTGCGCTTACGTTTCTTTATATATCAGAATTACATCATGAATGTGGGGGAACATAATTGGAGAGGGAACCACCCAGCACCTGGGGAGTGCCAGCTCATCTAAAGTTGGTGTCATCGCCCAGTTGCTCAGACAGTCGAAGGGATACCTCCGGCGGGCAAATGGCGCGAGTCTGCCACTTCGCGCTCTAGAGCGCTCCGGAGCCCTGCCATTTCACGCATTTTGCTGCTCCGCGGCTCTCCCAGGACTGGCGCACCTCCGGAGCAGAGATTTGCGCGTCCCGGAGAGGGGTCCCATTCGCCTGCTTGTGACGTCATGGTCACGTCACGGTGAACGAATGGGACCCCTCTCCGGGACGCGCAAATCTCTGCTCCGGAGGTGCGCCAGCCCTGGGAGAGCCCTGGAGCAGCAAAATGCGTGAAATGGCAGGGCTTCGGAGCGCGAAGTGGCAGACTCGCGCCATTTGCCCGCCGGAGGTATCCCTTCGACTGTCTGAGCGGCGAGGGGAGTGTCGGACTAAGATTATTCTGCATCTTGACAGATGGACATAATATCAATTGATGAAGGAGGATATCAATTTCAGTTTGATACTGATTTTTGAATTGTAACTTGCCTAGACATTGAATTAGAAACGAGTGAGAAAATCCAGAGATACGGAGCAATTCATTGCAGTCGATAGGATTGATTATCTTGTAATAATTTTTCCTAGCGACATGTAAGAACTTCTTTTGCGATTTATGAGTTGGCGCAACTCATTCATTTTGAATGACTGTACTAAAAGACATTCATCATGGTTCGGAAATAAAAGCGCTTTAAACTACAATAATAGTCTTAGGTTCCAATCCCCATACGCGACACCATTTTTTGTAGGAGGGAAAATGCTATTTATGAAGCATAAAGAGTGTTTGCGACGGAGAAACGTATTTCCATTTTTTGCATGATTTTCCTGCAAACAAAACCTTTTAGCGACTTCCAGAACGGTGTCAAAAACGTGCATAAGCGCAGTACTTTTGAAAATTCGTGACTAAGTCAGGGAAAGGCTGAGAGGTTGCAATGAGCAAATTGTATAGTAGTGTGCTCATACAACTGAAGGTAAAAGTTGCAGCCACTCAGGACCACTGAGCTCAAAAAAATTACCCTATTTTCAGGTGTATAAGCCGCACCCTTTTTGCTCTAAACGTGAGCAGACCCAGGCGTGCAGCCGCGCGTATGTCTCGCGAAGCGGTCGCCTTACCGCATACTGTTCTCACTTAACGCGCTCCATGATGACAGTCAGTCTTTTGGCGTGTTCGCCTTTAGAGCGAAAAGGGTGCGGCTTATACACCTGAAAATAGGGTAGATGCAACCATAGCAAATTTAGATGCGATCCTGAAGCCAAAGGTAAGATTTTTGAGATCGAACTGGAGACGCAACGAAATAACCCGAAATTTTCAGGATAGAAAGTAGGAAGATTGTGATGTGGTACTGCAAAATTGGAACTCCTTAGCGCCAAAATTTAGATGCGACCCAGATACGACCCCTCTTTTTCATTTTTTGTTGCTGCACATAGAATTTTGAATGATACTATAAAGGTTATAAAATAAGACCAGATCTTGCATAAATGTACCAGAGCACCTCCAAAGTACAGGTATTGTATGGACCCGTTAACATTGCAGAAAGATTAAAAAAATGTAGAGTTCTTTGTTGGTAATATCTGCTGCATGACGAAGGCGGTTGCCCAAATAGGTTGAAGGCTGTTGCGCACGCGGCGCGCGGGCAATTGTCAACTACCGGGCGCGCGCACGCTCGGTCAGCGATCATCCACTGGAGCGTGCGCGCGCCCCGTGGCTGACAGTTGCCCGCGCGCCGCGTGCGCAACAGCCTTCAACCTATTTGGGCAACCGCCTTCGTCATGCAGCAGATATTAGATATAATCGCTTTTGTCGAGCGTGTGAGACTTCAGTGGGGCTTCGGAAGCAGCACTTCTAAGTCAATCGGTACACTCCACATCTTTATCACACATACATGCCTTCAATAGTATTTAAGCTTCCGAAGTGATTTTTGAATTTTCGGTCATACTTGTGGCCAGCAAGTTCGACCGTCTGCGACACCTTTTTTGCCGGGAGAATAATGCTATTTCTGAACCGTAGAGAATGTTTGCGCCGTCAATTGTTATGTGAATTTGTTATTTCCTACTTTCTGCATTTATTCACACTACCCTCTCTTACGCCCCCATCCCCCCACCGGAGGTACCCTCTTTACGACTCCACTTGAAGGCACCGTCCACCCAGATCATCGACTTCCAGGTTTTTGTCGTTTCAGGCCTTTCTCATGTCCCTGATTCCAAATATGAAGTCGAGAATCCGCGAAAATCCCAAATTCCCATTCCGGAGAACCTATAAATCGGCTTTCCGGAACGGTGATTGGATGAGCGCGCACAAATGGGCGGGCATGGATGGGGAGGGGCGGGCGTGGATGGGGGGTCCCCGTGCATCATCGCTATTCCGGAGCTATTTTCTCGCTTCCGAAGCTGCTTTTTGCGCCGCGACTTGGGCATTGACTTGATAGTAGGCCCTACTGTTATATGCTGCCAAAAGCTCAACACCCTCAACTTAGGGTGAACGGTGCCTTTAAGCGCGATAGCGCAACCACCACTCGTAACTAGCATTCATGTTATAGCCGAGTGGCTGACGGCAAACCCCTCTTTGTCAATAATATTGTAATCAGCATGCTCACTTATCCTTTGCTCCAACACTCAGCCTCGTAAATGAATTTTTTTTCGATATCGATCATGACTAAATGTAGCCTGCGACACCCGCCTACCCCGAAATGTATATGCGCAACTTTGGTTCGGACCGGTTTGGGAATAAAAACTTTTATTCGGAATATACCTACGACGCACATGCAGGCACACATACAAACAGATTCAGCTTTATATCCTTTATTATGCAGAGCTACGGCAGAGTTTTCTGCGTCCCTCTATCCCATGCATGAGGAGGTCCAGTTGCTGGTAGATTCCAGAAAAAGGAATGTGGAAATATAACGGCGTTCGAGGATGACGGTAGGAGAGGCTAGTGGTCATTACCTGGCGAGAGGAGGGCACCAAGTTTCCACCCGAGCCATATCCTCGCACCTAAGTGATATGCGTATTAGCCACATTCGGATTCGCTATAACTAAGAGCTTCTTGGGATACCAAGAAATTGAAAGCTCAGCCTCTTTTCCAGAGTAGCTTCAGATGCTGAGACCGGACCTTCAAAAAAATTTCAAAGTCGAAGTTCAGCAGCGAAATTGCTCCCATGGAAACCAATTTCGGATTTAGGGGTTTGCGAGATTGCTCTTTTCAGTAATGAGATTCGTCTGATGCAAAGCCAAGGTTCAGCACGATAATGCCCAAGATCAAAATTAGTACTTAGAGATTTTCGAAATTTACTTTTCACAAGGCCGAAGTTCAGGTTTACGGGAAGTCGCTTTTTCGATAATCACGTGTTTCGTGCAATATCAACAATGATTTGATTTTTTGAACATTTTTTTTGGAGACAAAAAATGTTTGTGCCACAAAAAGAGAATTATTTCTCTAGAAATGAAATGCCAAATGCATAACTGCGTATGTGATTATGTATTGGTTTT